ACTGAAGAAGGTTCTCAGATAAGAGGTGAAACATCTTCAAGAAACTTAAAGAAGTCCCGCCACTTTTGTTTCTTGTCTTAGTGTCATATCATGCATACTCAACCATGTAGAAGTTGACTTTAAAAGTCTGAAATTACTTTTTACCAGTTTGCAAACAGGGGAGTGGGGTCTATGGGTCTTTATAGTCCTCACTGGTAACTCATGTCTCAATCATGGTCATAGAAAATATTGTTCTTTATGATGTACAGTTGTCTGTTATTTAGAAGGTCTGTTGTTCAATGCCCAGCTCTTGCAAACTTATGCTGAAATATCCTCGGGCAAAGTACTCAACCCCAAGTATCATCTGATGCATCCATCTCTGCATGTGTGTGTGAATGTTAACAATGTATCTGTGGATGCAGCTTGCAGTGAAAAATACTGAATGTTAGGTGAAAGTAAAAAGGTGTTCGATAAACTGGACTGCAGGACTAAACTAGGAAAAGGGCAGAACACTAACTAACCTCACAAACTTGAGAGTGAAGTTATGGGAGATAGCCTGCCAGCACAGTGGTCATTAGTTGTCTTAAAACAAGACGGTTGTGGGTTTGAACCTGTCCAAAGACATTGTTGGCCGCCTCAGAGCTGAGTCAAGGATAAAGGAGTCTTCATGCACTGAATACATAAGTGAATGTTAAATGTCATGGTTGTATATATCATAGTGGTAAAAGAGGTAAAAAGTCAATCCCTTGACCTGCATAGCATCATGCAGCTAAAGCTATCACTGGACCAAAGGAAAAACACATAACAAATGTGTCATTGCAGTTATTTTGTTTTACGCGAAACAAAGAATCTCTGAAGACGTTTACTTACTTATAGTGAAAAGCATATAAATCAAGAGTAAAACCTTCTAAATGCATCCAGTTGGTTGAAATTTTGTAGGAAAAAACAGCACGGACCCCATGCTGCATGATGGCCAGATTTCAAGTGACTAATGGGAGTTTTCAATTTAATAGCTCCAGAGGGACAAATATGCAAATTTTGGCACTTGTATCCACTTTTAAAAGATTGTTTCAGTTATCTGTGGCACTACTGCGTTCACTGACACTTTTAAGAGATATCTTAAGACATAAATGTTTTCAATGGCCTTAGGCTGTTCTTAGTGGTCTTAACATTTTAGCTTTTAAAGTGCTCTGCCTTGTTCTTTGTATTTCTTTGAGCTTGCCGGTCTATTAATGTCTACATTTAGTTCTTTGGTCGACTCTGGCTGTTTTAAAACTTTTTGCTAGAGAGAGGACCCCAGGACCTTTGTCAGCACTTGAGGAGGAAGAAAACTTCAGCTTTTATTGCCAGCATCTTTCTCATAAAAATGAGAGATTTAAGATTAGTAAACTTTTGAAGTGTCACATCTATGAAGAGATGAGTTATAGATGAGTTAGTGTGACAGATCTGGAAAAGCAGGCACTGAAGCTAACAACAGATGGAATGCACATAACAAATATAATTATTTATGTATAATTAATTATTAATGCAAAATGAATTGCATGCTTGAAACATCAGACAAGAGCTGAGTATGTTTTAAAACCAGTGTCATTTATAATTTGCAACAGATCTTAATATGCTTAACAGCTCATTTTTTTTAGCATGTATGTTTACAACAATCGCAAGGCAAACACTTACCAATTACTACAAAGACAACATACTGTACATGTAATAACTTGCCAGACATTGCCAGCAAGTGTAGATAAAAACACTGGATGTCATTTCTTCTGCTATTTATCTGTTTCAACAGCTCGGTGAGGCGCAGTCTTCCATTTAAAAAGAAATGTAATAAATTATTAAATGGATTAGTGTCCTGACCGCTGCTTCACATCAAATGACCTCTAAAAACCTTTGCGCCACCTGGTAGCAGCAGCTCTATATCCAGTACTGCAGTCACAGATGGTGACTCCAGCCACATCTCTGTCATCTCTAATGGCACTAGCAGCAGGTCGCATGTCTGGAAAAACAACTGAGATCTGGAGATGTTACCTGACTAAATAATCTGCAGTGTCAGTGTTGGCAATCCCATCCAGCCAAAAACAACAAAACAAAGCTGCTCGAATAGAAACTCGCTGACTTTAAAATGCATTGGAGGGGAACACCAGGCAAAATCAGATTCAACTACAGGGAGTGAAGAATTATTAAGCAAATGAGTATTTTGTCCACATCATCCTCTTGATGCATGTTGTCTTACTCCAAGCTGTATAGGCTCGAAAGCCTACTACCAATTAAGCATGATGTGCATCTCTGTAATGAGAAGGGGTGTGGTCTAATGACATCAACACCCTATATCAGGTGTGCATAATTATTAGGCAACGTCCTTTCCTTTGGCAAAATGGGTCAAAAGAAGGACTTGACAGGCTCAGAAAAGTCAAAAATAGTGAGATATCTTGCAGAGGGACGCAGCAGTCTCAAAATTGCAAAGCTTCTGAAGCGTGATCATCGAACAATCAAGCGTTTCATTCAAAATAGTCAACAGGGTCGCAAGAAGCGTGTGGAAAAACCAAGGCGCAAAATAACTGCCCATGAACTGAGAAAAGTCAAGCGTGCAGCTGCCAAGATGCCACTTGCCACCAGTTTGGCCATATTTCAGAGCTGCAACATCACTGGAGTGCCCAAAAGCACAAGGTGTGCAATACTCAGAGACATGGCCAAGGTAAGAAAGGCTGAAAGACGACCACCACTGAACAAGACACACAAGCTGAATCGTCAAGACTGGGCCAAGAAATATCTCAAGACTGGTTTTTCTAAGGTTTTATGGACTGATGAAATGAGAGTGAGTCTTGATGGGCCAGATGGATGGGCCCCTGGCTGGATTGGTAAAGGGCAGAGAGCTCCAGTCCGACTCAGACGCCAGCAAGGTGGAGGTGGAGTACTGGTTTGGGCTGGTATCATCAAAGATGAGCTTGTGGGGCCTTTTCGGGTTGAGGATGGAGTCAAGCTCAACTCCCAGTCCTACTGCCAGTTTCTGGAAGACACCTTCTTCAAGCAGTGGTACAGGAAGAAGTCTGCATCCTTCAAGAAAAACATGATTTTCATGCAGGACAATGCTTCATCACACGCGTCCAAGTACTCCACAGCGTGGCTGGCAAGAAAGGGTATAAAAGAAGAAAAACTAATGACATGGCCACCTTGTTCACCTGATCTGAACCCCATTGAGAACCTGTGGTCCATCATCAAATGTGAGATTTACAAGGAGGGAAAACAGTACACCTCTCTGAACAGTGTCTGGGAGGCTGTGGTTGCTGCTGCACGCAATGTTGATGGTGAACAGATCAAAACACTGACAGAATCCATGGATGGCAGGCTTTTGAGTGTCCTTGCAAAGAAAGGTGGCTATATTGGTCACTGATTTGTTTTTGTTTTGTTTTTGAATGTCAGAAATGTATATTTGTGAATGTGGAGATGTTATATTGGTTTCACTGGTAAAAATAAATAATTGAAATGGGTATATATTTGTTTTTTGTTAAGTTGCCAATTAATTATGCACAGTAATAGTCACCTGCACACACAGATATCCCCCTAAAATAGCTAAAACTAAAAACAAACTAAAAACTACTTCCAAAAACATTCAGCTTTGATATTAATGAGTTTTTTGGGTTGATTGAGAACATGGTTGTTGTTCAATAATAAAATTATTCCTCAAAAATACAACTTGCCTAATAATTCTGCACTCCCTGTATTTATACAATGCAGACTGTTTCAGATCCTTAAGTGTTTCTCTGAGGCACATATTTAATAACATGTAGTTAATCAGCCTCTGTTGTAAAGTGGGAAACTATTTATTCACCAGTGACACCTGCATGCTTTATGCTGTCACCCTGGCACAGGTGCCACCTCGTAATAAAACATGCACTAGGGTATTGAGTGCAGTGAGTTTATCTGACATACTGCGCCAGTAATTGCTTTAGAGAATGGGTATTTAAGACGGTGTTGGAGAGCGAACTAGTGAAGAAAAGTCTGACCAAGCTCATTAAACCCTGGTATTCTTTACCATAAAACTGATGCCAGCACTTAGTGTGATGCCTCTGGGCAAAAGAACAGTAGGTGGATTCCATAGTTTCTAAATGCAATCTTCCCCCTGGCCTTGCTTTGGCTACACGACACATACTATGGCAAGGACACCGTGCTATTCCAGTTTAGCCTTTGAATGGTTCAGCCTATCTCATTATAAAATTTTAGGTCAAGGCAGATCTAGTGATACACTTAAAAAAAAGAAAAGAAAAGAGAGACAAAGAGAGAGTTACAAAATTACCTCTGTGATTTTGAGTGTTAGGAAATTAAATATGGCCCGAGGGCCTGCAGTAGCACAGAAAAATACATCTAAGCTTAACTTAGAGTCTAAACTCACTAATCTCTAATATGTAAAAAAAAAAAAGCCCTGTAAAATATTTTAGCATGCAGCTCCACGTAGAGATCTCAAATTGTAAAAAAATAAACGATACGTTTGTTTAACAGGGACTTATGGGCCTAAAAAACTAGAGTTAATTTGAGTGACTGCTGATGCTTTGTACCAAGTGTATGTGTGCTGTGACATCACGAAGCGTTTGTGACTGTATCCATTTGCTCCTTCCTACGCTCCAAGTAATGTGTAACGCTGTCTATGAGTGAGAACATAAAGCTGACAGCTGGCAAAAAAACGCCCTACAGTTTTCTTTTCTCCACTCAAGACCAAAAGTCAAGCAATGCCACCCTTAAAGGCCGTCTGAAAGTACCGTGCACATGTACGACTAAGTAAGAAAAAATCATTTACTCAGTTACTTTTCCCCCCCTCATCCACAAGTGAGTTGTAGAAATCTATGATTATTATATGCTCAATTCAAGAAGGTCTCTATCCATCCTTAATTTGTTCAATCAAAACTAAAATGCGCATGTGGAAATCACTGATCCCCGACCTTGTATGCATTTAATTTGCCTGCGGCCCTTCCGATTATACCCACGTGGGTCTAGTTAATCTGCCCCGCGGCACATGTTTACTGATTTCTATCATGGTAAGAGCCGTGTCTGATGCTGTCCCACAGTGCCAGCTAGAGCACTGATGTCGGAGGGGGGGGAAAACTGTCATCACTTAGAGGACAGGGAAGTACATTTAAAACTATTTTTTTCCTAGTTGAGCCTCTACATTCAGAGGAACCAAGACACTCTGCAATGTAATGCTTTGTTTCCAGCGCTGTTTTCCTACCGTGTGCGTGCAGTCACCAAAACTTACCTCCGTGCGTACTGGAGACCAAAACCTGCAACTTCACTAAAATGATGTTTCCCCTTCGTTTTCTGTTTCCGGTTGTCGCGGTGGCGGTTTTAACAGCTTTTGAAGGTGAGATTTATGATTGCTTTTGATGAACTATGATCAGTTTCAGCTTTTATTAATGCATTGGTTTGAAGTGGTCTGCTGGATGAGACGCAAATAACGCGTAAATGGAAAGCTTTAAATATGAAAACAACTGGGTTGGAACTAGCTCAGAGGCTTCAGCTGTGTTTACAAGAGACGAGTAATGAAGATAAAATGTGTAGCTATTTTATACTCTTGTATATACTTTGATAGTGCAAGCACATACACACTGGGCATATTAAATGACTCTGCTGTAGTTTATTACGCACATCCAATATACTTTTGTTTCCTTTTGGCTTTTATCAGCACAAAATTTAAGCAGGCCCCAAAATTGCTATGGAGTTGTCATATTTGCTTGTCATGATTATTTTTTTGTATTTGACTGGCTCATAAAGATATAAAGTTGTGTTTCATATTTTTGTAGTTCTGTGGTTACCATCCATGGCCTAAGCCCATTTTGTTATCCCTCAGTCTAAATGAAAGTGACAGCATGCTCTCCAGTGTGCATCAGGAAGCCTCATCTGTGGGATTAAAGAGGCCTGAAGCTGAGGTTGCACAGCTGTTTCTCTGGTTGTTTAAAGATAACCTGCATTGGGAGCCACAGAAAGCAGTCTGTCCCTCTGTGATACCGACAGTATGCGAAAGACTACTGTTTGAGATTGCCTGGGTTTATATCTACCCATGCTATCTGTGGGTGCATTTTTTTCCATCACACATGCATGTGTGACTGCTGCATGTCTGCAACTGTGGAACTCGGCTGTGTTCTGACTGCGTGTCTAAGTGATAGGGTTCAGCCTTTGATATCTTCCCTGCTTGATCACCATGAATATGCATGACAGCCTTATCTTTTAGTCCAGTCACAGTCTGCTGTCTAATGTGTCTGTGAGCCTCTCTGAGTTAGAACTGCCAGTTGTTCAAAATTGCCATATGTGTAATTTTTTTCTGTAATATCTCTGGTTTATATACTTAAAGGGATCCTGCCAGGTCTGACCAGATTACTTTCTGATCAATACATTATTCTGTTAAGCAGCAGTTTTCATGAGCAGCGGGATAATTCTGAGGCTACAGCTAAGAAATACTGTGGATTATTTCTGTCTTTATGTTTTATGCTTCCATTAATTGCATTAAGTTTCACAGGAGATATTTAAACAAGCTGCATTTATAATCTTGCGACAGTATGGGCATAAGTCCCTTCATAATGAACAATTATCCTATTTTTAGATTTAAAAAGAAGGATAAGATTCGAGCTTTTCTCCCGTGCTGGTTTGAGCAGAATAATGATGGTAAAATAAAGTAGATGGTTCTTAAACTGGAGAGCAAACACAGCTGCCGCCAAAGCCAACATTTATGATTTTTTTGTTAGATTTTTTTTTACTTGCATTGTATAAAATCTTTGCACTATAGTCGGGTTGTAACAGTTTGAGTACTAATTCAGCAACCTCAGAAGTGAATCAGCATCAAAATCTAATTAGCTGAAATGTGTGCACCAAATGCAAAAAGAAATCAATTCATAGATCTTCAAATGTCTGTTCACAGACTAACATGATTAACAACATTGATTGTACACCCTAACAGTGAATTCTAAGTGTACAGTGCACTGTCAGCTAAATTAAATAATTATTAGTCCCAGACAGAGAGAATAGCTGGAAATGGCAAATGAGCATTGGTGTGCTTTTGTTTTATCTCAAACCTGCAGACACAAACTAATAATGTAGAACTAAAACTTTTATATTGGCCTGCATGTGAAATTCCTTACATCATTAGTCTGATCTCTGGGATCTATAAGACACTTTTCTTGTGTGTCTTTGTTTAATATCCACCCTGACATCTGATTTTCTTTTCCATTCAGCAAGTAATCTAATTTAAATATAAATTTATTCATGAAATATGGTTTGGAATCAGAAAACAATAATATACCACTTCTAATGCGTCTGAAGGAGAGGAATATTTTCTTTTCTAAAAGTTTTTTTTTTTTGTGAGGTAAGGGAAAGCATGGAGGAGAGCAAATTACCAAGTGTCTCTGGCAGCGGGAAGAGTGATCTGTCATATACGGCGTTCTATCTGGACAAACAGTCATCCCACAGAAGTTACCAGACAGGCTTTTTAGCACTCGGATGCCACATTTCCTTTACTGGCTCGGATAGATGTAGTGAATAGCAGAGAATAGAATATCCGTTGCAGGACAGAAATGACGCAGACCTAATTTCCTCGTGTTTTAGAGCTTGAATGTTATAGTGATGTGTATAATTCTCTGTAATAAAGCCACATGCCATGGTTAATCTGGCTGAAAATTTAATCAGCAACTTGTATGCCTACTGGAATTGTTACCATCTGGTCGTATGATATGCAATAAGAATTACCCTGTTTGTCTTTCCTTTTTCAAGCCGCACAGTGTTTTGCTTTAGGAAACGTGAATCGTGTATTCAGGAAAAGTAAGGGAGAACGAAAATTCAGTGAAAGAAAATTAAAAGGCTGTTTTTTTTTCTTTTCTCTTTTTGATGCAGGAACTATATTCAGAAATTAACCATATTTGCTAAATGAAGTCATTTAATTGTTTTGAGTCTTGCTCGCCAAGACAGCCAACTGTCATCATCAGTGTCGTGATCCTGACTCTGTCCTTTTGGCGCCTACCTGAACCTCATGGCATCGACCCTTTGCTTTGCTTCTCCAACTCTGATCTCTTTTCAACCCTTCATCCTCCTGTCATCCTGTTTGCAGTTACAGTAGCAAACTAGCTTTGTGAGTAGTAACTGTGCTTGTCGGTAGATTTGAAACCTAAAACTGAACCTTGGAGTTAAAGCATATATATGGAAAATTTCTACCTAATTTCTCTAAAGTCCTAATTCCCCAAACTCATCATTTCACAGGTGCTGAGATTCCAAGAGTGGCTAAAGACACTGGGACATTCACCACTCCATCTCCAGTTTATCCCACCATCAAGTTTCAGGTCCTCAATGTGGACCACGTGTTTGTGAGACAGGACAGTCCACAGCCATCTGGGAACTCTAGCCTGAAAGCTCAGACTCAGACTTTTCTCATCACTGGACCTGGTGCTGGGCTTCTCCAGCCATCTGTCAATGCTTCATTTGGCCCCCTGACTCTAGATGCCTCTATTCCTTTAGATTTGCTCCTCAGTGGGCGCAAGATACTGCCAGTCATTTTGAGCCGCCAGGTTCGTTCCTCATCCCCAGTAGTTAAGATTCTTTTCCACATGCCCACAGAAAGCAATATCACTGCTTGGCAAGAAACAATGGGCTCTCTAGAAGATAATGGGAGGAAAAATGATGGAGCTAAGGCTAAGGATGGAGCTCACTGTGTCACGGCTTATGCCTTCTGGGAGACCAGAGAAGTTCGTGGGGCTTGTCTGGTGTCTCCTGGCGGCTTTTGTGTGGCACAGCTTAAGCCAGAACCCTCCTGGTTCAGCTCAGCCAGTAGATCAGGAAGCTCTAGCAGGGAAGCAGAAAGCACTGAAGGCATTAAGGGACTTCAGGGGAACCTTGTGGAAGTCTACTTCCAGAGTCGGCGGGACCAGACTGGCCAGTGCACCCCACAGGATAGCCTGCAACGAGTAGGAGTGGGACGAGGCAGAGACACTGGTGGATCAGGGACACCAATGAGGAGGGTAGGAAGTGTCAGCCTGCTCAAAAGTCCACCAGGGAATCCCACCTTTCTTCGGCTGAGGCTGGGAGGCGCTGTGGTGATCCAGACTTCTTCAAAGCCCCTCAAGTCTGGTGATGTCGCAACGTTCTATGTCTTTCTTGCTAGTACGTCCACCTTGGAAAGTTTCACACTGAGGTGAGAGATATTCTATGTTATGCTGTTCTTGTCTGTTGAGCTATTTGGTCTTGAGTAATGACTTCTCGCCAGACTGAAAGCATTTTTAGTTTTTAAAGTCAGCTCTTGCACATATTACTTACTGATTTATTCAACAGTATTAAATTCACAAAGATCATGTGGGTCGACTATATTCTAAAGTTTCTTACAGTCCTCATGATCTAAAAGTCCTTACAAGAAACTGCGATGAGTCTCTTTTGATTGTCAAATCTGTTAGTATAGTTCTGATACTGTAAGTCGTGACTGCAGATGTCTGAGTTGCTGAAGGTAAGTAAAGTGAAGAAATTTACAAAAAATGATATTTTAGTTTAGTTCTTTTATGAAGTTAAAAGCCTTAGACTTAATTACTCAAGATATGCAGACTCGGAGAGTAACAACCTTTTTATGATTTTCATTATTCCTCCGGCCAAGGAGAGACCTGAATGTATGTTTTTAGTTCTGTTTGTTTAGGTGTCACAAACTTTATTAAAAACAGGCAGGGAAGTGGACGAACCCATGCAATTCTGATGATCTGGATCCCTTTTATGAAAATTAAACAGCAAAGCCTTTCCAGCTCCCTTCTTCTTGTGCTTAAAGTGGCATTTAGGAAATGAAACGGAGAAAGGAAAACACTGTAATTACTCTCCAGTCTTGCTGAGGATGGAAGGGAAAATAGTTTAGGTTGAATTACATAAAAATTCATTGTTGCAATGAAACATGCGAAGCATGAAAAGACACTGGAACCAACTGGAATCATCAGGTCGTACGGCATATTGAAGCGTATTCATGAAGGATTAGCTCCATGCATTTAAACTGTTACTTAAGGCACTTGAACACTAATGGGCCTCACCATCAATGCCTTGCAGTTAAATGCTTGAGCGCCAGCAGGACTTGTGTTGCCAGCCACATTCACCGGTTTCACAAATTACTGACATGTTGTATCTTGTCTATGTCAACTTATCAGTTAGTGGAGGACTTACGGGGCGCACTCTTCCATAAACAAGAAAGTAATTGGTAAATGATTCACTGATTTTCATATCGCAACATGTCAACAGGGTTCTCTGGTTACTTGACTTCATAAATAATGCATCTAATAAATGGAGCAGAAAGACAAATAACTAAAATCTAAAAGGCCCCATTGGCTAAAAGTGAATTTAATATAAATATAGCTCTGCAACACGTAGAAACTCACAGCTGACTTTACAGACTTTTTCCCCTGCTGTTTTTTTTGTTTGTTTTTTTTAAAATGCACATCACTTGGTGGAGTAAAACTATTTATTTTTATCAGAACACTTTGCATCAGTCAATAGTAAAGCCATTGCACTGAGGTTTGTGTTTCCAGCCTGTGGTCTGATTAATGATTTTCTTTGAAATGCAAGACAAATTTCTTTCTAATCCCACGATTTAGTGATATTGTGCTGTCGTCATAACAACAGCGTAGTAATCTGCTGCAGGATACAAGCAATCGGAGAGAAATATTAAGATGTGCATATTAATCCATAGGGCACACTGTTACCCTGTGGCTGTGTGTCATTCCCAGTGCTCTTCTCAGATATCAGGCAGCATTCACAAACACAAACATGCCTCCACGCACACACGCAAATGCAGAATCCCACTGACCTGAATGCACCTCTGCTTGCATTGTTGAAATTACGTGAATAAGATTTGGCAGAGAGACGCTGACCCTCTAACATCTGCTCTTGTTTTGACTATTTGCGAGGATTTACAGCCCCTTCACCTGAAATTCCCCAAATTCATACTCACTGACCGAACCAATGACATTCCTCTAGTCAGGTCAGTGATTTTGGTCTGTGTATTTATGACCTGCTGCCACATCCAGAATGAGATTGGACAAGAAGAGGGGACTGAGTGCAGCAGCTGAGTCCAAGTGAAGGCTAGCTCTGAGGAGCTTGGCAAAGTGATTGATTCCTCCTGGGAGAAATCCCAGCTCTACTTCGCTCTTTGGCCCAAGATTGAGTCCACTCCAGCAGAGTTAGGCCAGATAATCTGTGCCCCTGATTGAAAGTGAATTAAGAGGTCAACCCTTTCGGGTAGAGATGATCTGGGCTGCCAGGACTGATTATGTGTATGTTTTGTTTTGGGTTTCTTTGTGCGTGTGTGTGGTTTTCCACCTGTTAACCACAGGCAGCTTTTAAAAAAACAGTACAGAGACATAAAACAGTCTGTTCACAGAGGCCGCTTTTGCAGCAAAAAATAATTTTAGGTTACCCGAATGCCTAAAAAAACAAAAGAGGCAAGAGCTTTGCAACTTTCGCAGCTTTAAACAAAGAGATGAAGTTTGGTAAACCAGGGGTGAAGAGTTGCTCAGTTTAAAGGTCGATATCCGCTCTGTCCCCCACCTGTGGTTGTGAACTCTGGGTAGTGAGTGACAAAGACAAAGCGTGGGGATAAAAGTGGCTGAAATGAGGTTTCTCTGCAGGGAAGCCTGTGTCTGCCTGTGAACAAGAAGCGCAGTGATCCAGGAAGATCCTGACGTTGAGTTACTGCCTCTCCACACTCAATAGGAGCCAGTTGAAGTGGTTTGCACCCCTGGGAAGGGTGGTCATCAGGTGCTGTTGTCACTGTGATGCTGAGCTGGGCAAGCAGCAAGAAAATGATTCACTGCATATAGCAAAAGAATACATTTATCCTTGGCTGTAATTTCCCCTAACTAAAACACAGTTTGACTTTTTTCTAAACTATGATCACAATGACAAATTATTATGCCTTAAAAAGGGCAGCAAATTAAGATTTAAGGGAAATGAAAGACAAACATCCTCAAAAATTGTTTCATTATTTTAAAATTTGTATTCTGATCTGCCCGACTGAGTCAGTATCTGCATTTATTGTTTTTCAAACATTAATTAAAATCACAAATGAAAACATGTGCCTTTGGCATAAGAGTTTTGCTTCAGATAGTAATTTCTGTGCAAGTCTTTATCTGGCACGCATTGAATTTTCAGCAGAACAATATGTGTGTGGGTGCCTGAGTGTGTGTTTAAATGTGCCCTTAATTCTTGCCTACTGTATTTTGCCTTTGAAACCACTCTAACACTGACCTCAGTCTCAGGGGTTATTGATCTGTCTGGTCGCTCTTTGATTACAAATCTGTATTTTTAAGTGTGTGTATTTGGATGTGTGTGTCAGTGTGCTAAGCCTAATGCCACGCACTTTTCTGCTGACCCTTATTCTAGCAGGAATCTGCTCCAGTCATCCTGTCATATTGTTCTTCAACTGTTTGAAATCTGATTTGGAGCCGAAATAACAACAGGCTGTTAAAAGAGATGGACTGTTTGTTGTAAAATAACAGGTTTTCACTCCATGTCACTTCTTCTAATAAATGCTTAAGCCTTGCACGTCTTAAACTGATGGCAGGAAGAGTATTTTGGAGTTGACATAATGAAAATGTTGATCTGGCTTCCTTAAAGACGAAGCAGGTGAAGGAGGTTTTAATGGTATTTTCAATGTGTTTACCTCGATATTTTCTTGAAGAACAGACATTCTGTCACAACCACAGTCTATCTGTTGCTCTCTATATGCTCGTGGGCTGAATTTCACTTTGAACATTGCTGGCACCTTGCTGAATCCTTGAAATTTGAATCTGTCTGCTTCACAAATGTCTGGCCATGCCATACAAAGGTTTACCATTTATTTTACTCTGCATGGGGCCATAATTTACAAATCAAATCGTGAACAGAACAGTACTCTGCAAAAACCTTGAGTCACTCGTTATTTCTTTATAGTTTGCGACCACCTTTTTTCTTCAACACAGCCTGAACTCTCTCTTAGGAAAGCTTTCTTGTAACTTCTTTAAGGAGTCTTCAGGATAGTTCTCAAGGCCTCTTGAAGGACATTCAAAGCTCTTCTTTGGATCTTGTCTGCCTTTTGTTTCATTTTCTCTTAAAATGATCCCACACTGCTTCAGTAATGTTGACATCACTATCTGTGGAGTCCAGTACATGACTGATAGTGCTCCACTTGTTTTGCAATCCATTATTATTATTATTATTATTATTATTATTATTATTTTACCTCTTTCTTAACCTCCACTTCACATATTGATAACAAATTGAACATAAGATCTGTTGCTTCTGCTTTTCAGTTAAATTCTTGTGTAATTTGGCACCTTCATGTTTAGCCTTCCATAAGAAAGGCTTCTTAACAGCTACCCTTCCACTACGACCATTTCTGATGAGGCTTCAGTGAACAGCAAATGGATCAATTAAAGAGCCACATGTACAGTATCTCTGAATTCCTGGGTCAGTTCTTTGCTGGAATTTTTCCTTCTTCTTTAGGATATGGCGCTCAGATACTATAAATCTGCTATAGATAGGTTTTAAGCTTGCTACTTCTTTTGTCATCTACTTTTCCTCAGATTTTTTAAGGACAAGCTGCACAACATGCCAAGACTTTCAGCTAACAGTTTGGGAACTGATTAGGCTGAAAATGAATGAAAACGCAACCAGTGTCCAAGGAAAAACTTCCTCCACAAAGCTTGGAGAACTGTTGCTCAAGACCACTTAAAAAAATCCAAGAAAGCCTGGAAGCCCTTGGGAGCAAAATGAATGGTTTTAATGTTTTTTTTTTTTAATCTGAAAAATGTTTCCAATGAGCATCAGAGTAATTTCTCCATAGACTTCTTAACTGCTTTCTTTTTGGAAAAAGAGGGAGTCATCATCTGCAGGTCACTAAAAACAATGCAGGTTTAAGGATTTCTGGTTTCACGTCTCAGACTCATTTCCTTTTTATAATATAATTAGCCAATCATTGCACTTCGAACAGGGATCTGAAGGATTTGTTCCCCAAGTATCACTTTTCAGTTTTCAGATCTGTAACACTTGTGGTGGCTGAACTTATGAGCTAGCTGGGTGCAGCCTTAGAGACAGGGTAAAGAACTCAGCCATCCAGAGGGAGGTCAGCATGGAGCCGCTGCTCCTTTGTGTCAAAAGGAGCCAGCTGAGGTGGTTTGTGCATCTGACCACAATGCTTCTTGGGTGCCTCCCTTAGCGGTGGCTTTCTGAGTATGTCCAATTGTGAGGAGACCCCAGGGGAGACCCAGAACTCGCTGGAGAGATTGTGTATCTCATCTTGCCTGTTAGCACCACAGTATCCCCCAAGAGGAACTAAAAATGTTGCCAAGAAAAATAATATCCTGTTGAATCTGCTACCATCATGGCCCTACATCATATAAGAAGATGGATGGATGGACAGAAAACTTGTGGTGATAGCTGGATTTGCAGGATTTTTCTCGTTTGGCGTGTGTGTGTGTGTGTGTGTGTGTGGTGGTGTGTGTGTGGGGGGGGGGGGGGGGGGGGGGGGTGTGTGTGTGTGTGTGTGTAAGACGTGATTAACTGATTTTCAGATCTTCTAATGGCTAATGGGAATTAAATAACCCCACTAATTCTCAGCCTTCAAGCAACCTGTGACTCAGTTTGTCAGTGACTCACCTTGTTCAACACGAGCAGCAAAGCACACATAAGATCGCAGAGAAAACCCACACGTTGTCAAGCAAGTGCACACAACCCTTAGTAACCTTAGTACCTGTGTACATTATACTAAAAGATATGGCAAATATTGTTGTTGCACATCCAAAAAGAGACAGATGCAACAGTTCAAATATTTCTTTTGAGCGTCAGAACAATTCCGTATAACCCGACGTTGTCCGTTACAGCAGAAAATCACATTGCATCATGTTCTGTAATAAAAGATTCAAACATTATGAAGCTTTCTTCATTCCTAATTCTTTATTGTTACACAGCACATCCCTGTCCTGTCTTTGTTTTTATGACATTTTACAAAAAGTCTACAAAAGTGTACAAAGTTGCACTTTATACTAAGTGTCCTATTTATATGTGCATGTCTTTGCTGCAGGGCTGCAGTAAAGATGGGCATGTCATTCAGTGCAGCTCGGCCCAGTGACTCAGCACTGTGGGACATGGTGGTAGAGCCTGGCAGAGGAGCAGCTCCAAACACGGTGTCTGTTGTTTGCCGCAGGAAGGTTGCTGTCACTGCAAAGAGGTCAGTCTACTGCGCGTACAGTGCATATGCCTGTTTTCACTAGACCCTTCACATGCCCTTCGTAAAACACAGTTTCTCCACACTCATGAAGCAATCTTTTCTCGTTGTTTATTCTGTGGAGACGTCTATTGTCATAGAGATTTCAATAACCGCTGCTGCTACCTGAAGGAAAAGTGATCAACAGTGTGTTTCAGTGTTGCATTCACTTCACAGGGCAAAATGAATGTTTTTAGATGAAAAGAGAAAAAAAGAGAAGAAAAAGAAGCATTATGCTTGGTGATGCGCAGACTGTATCCATTTTCATATAATAGACATTTTTCTCTGAGGAGGTAAGAGTGTCTCCCTGCGTGTCTCCAATTTCTGCTCAGAATAAATGAGATGTTCTTCAGGTGCAATTTTTTATCCTTCCCACTAGTAATACTACTCCTACTACTATAACTGCTGCTCCTATTAATAATAACAATAACAAAATTATGTCCCGTAAGGACTGACCACCCAAAATAGCAGGCATGGGATTTAACAACTAGAGGACATTAGACTGTCTTTATCCAGTTTCACAAAACCATTACTTCCTGAATATGTTATGGAACCTTGCAAAGGTGTTGTGATCAATAGTGACAATGCTGTTACGTATCATGTATATGAGACTACGCATAGCAAGATTTTCCTGTGTTTCCTGTAAACATAGTACCGAGAATATGATCAGAAGCTGCGTAGCAGGATTACTCTGCTTCATGTAAAAACATCATGTGACACTGAAAGAATAAGACTTTAAACTGTGGGGAAAAGAATAAATCCAGACAATCATATACTGTAACTACTTTGATATTGTTGGTTGTGGTGTTTAAATCCTCTTTTTTTTAAAATATCTGGATGTAAATTAATTTCACATAGTCCCTCATATGCAAATATAAGCAAACATGTTTTGTATGTATAATACTTAATATTTAAAGAAAAAAAGAGGTAAGACTTATAGAAGAATGAAAATATTAAGATATTTGTTTAAATTCAGAATAAATATATTCTATTTTTCTTCTTTTTACTGTAAAACACATTACTTTGTGCAATTATACATTTATGATCATTTATAATCTTAATTCATCTTGTTTCTCTCTGAACTTCCTATAAAACAAAAAGTCCCCCATTTCCCCAGTTCTGTGAGACTTTACCAGTCAAATAGCTTTGAAATATGAGAAATCAGTAAAGAAATAAAAGTGCTTCCCTTTGACTTTGTTTATTTTAACAGTAAACAAAGATTAATTAAAACTTCGTAGAACTTTCTCCACCTCTTTTTCCCGATGCACACCAGCTGAATACATCAGTAGTGTCTGATGCTGATGTTGGTGACACACCAGCAGCCACCTTTACCCAGCAACCCCCGCCCACACAAACACACACCACCCGCCATCCGTCCGACCCACATATCCGTAATAATCCATAATCATGGCCACGTTATCCGGGCTTAAGCGCTTGCACGTTCCGAAGTAGAGATTAGGGAGTAGAGATATTCCAAGTCGTGTTTCTTGCAGCACACAAACACACACACATACTCTCACCACTGTGCTCTGAAGTCATGATGCCATGGATGCATCATGACTTCAGAGCACAGTGGTGAGAGCCCCCCTCTCCATAGATGGTTTCTAGGAAAGAGGGTCATAAATCTCTCTCTCTCTCTCTCTCTCTCTCTCTCTCTCTCTCTCTCTCTCTCTCTCTCTCTCTCTCTCTCTCTCTCTCTCTCTCTTCCATTGTCTCTTCTCTCTTTTCTCTCCTCTCTATTTGATCATTCAATCTGTTAAAATCTGCGGCTTATTTTATTAGACATTTTTTAGCCTCTACTGCTGGAAAGGACAATGAAGCAGAGAGAAAAAGGGGGAGAGAGAGCAGGGTAGCAACATGCAGGAAGTGCACTGGGGTGGAATCAAACCCATATGCCTTGCAGCATATGGGTTGCCTTCTTACCCCAGTGAGCTCAACCAGCACCTGAGTTTTAAGTGTTCTTTTATATTAGTGTCTTATTTGGATATTTTATACTCATGCTTTTCCACGACTCTTATGAAAAATGGAGAAAAAAAAACACTTTCCTGTCAAATTGTATGTTTGGCATAAGAAGCTCAACATCTCTTTGATAACAGTTTCAAATGAATATGGGACAAAATGGAAGGAAAAAGTGAGCCTAACTCTGTCCAGAAGTAACAAAATCCACTTACCAGTGTCTCTAACGCTCACTGATTACCACATGGTATCTCTTTAATCTGTACAAAAATCCAAGAGGGTTAAGGGCTAAACCCCTTTTTTTGGCCTGGCAAGCCACTTCCCCCACCCCAATGTCAGTCTTCACACTAAGCTAAGTTGGCATGGTGCTGGTATATACTAAGAAAAGCTTAATCTTTTTATCTAACTCTAATTTATGCTTATTTACCACTTAAAAAAAAAAAGGCAGAAAATGCTGAGTTTGTTTGGTCGTCATTGCCAACATTTTTCACCGATCTTCTGCGACAAGCTTCATGTTGCCCACGAGAATCTTGCCCTTTAAATGCAGAAAACAGATTTTCACGTTTCATGTTTTTCCAGCCTAAAGAATCAATTGCAGAACACTCTGATTTCCTTATAATCAATTATTTTAATCTTCAAGCATTTCAAAGCTTACAGTTGCGCATAACCCAAAAAGAAAATGAAAAAAGTTTGTTTTGTGTCTTTTCAGTTGCGACCTAGAGTGCTTCACATAACCTCATCGTGACCTCGTTCATTGCACTTTGTTATCGTATAACGCTCAGTCCATGGCATACTTTTGATGCAGCGCGAGCGTTTCTGTATATCCTGTATGTGTTTGCATTGCTTTTTCTTACCATCGATTTCAACACTGTTCATCCTTTTAAAATTCAAGTTTCAATCATGTAGAGATTCATTGTTTTGCTTTATGCAAAATTTTGCTCCACTTCAAAGTGCCACACTTCCATTCACACCCTGCTTCATTTTCCCTTTGATCTCTTCCTGCTGACAGGTATGCCTACACACTCTCCAACATTAAATAACATCACATCCCATTTCATTGACAATCCTTTGACCAGAATACTTGGTCTCTGCCAGCTCACTTAATCTTCTCTCCACACTCTCACTTTATTCTTCCATCTGCTGATGGAAATGAGACCTCATGTGTATCGTCTTTACTTTCCAACATAACATGTGGGTTTTCACAGAGTTCAGATTAAGCTCTCTCCATTTAATTTTCTCATTTTATTCTCCAAGGAACACTATTGACTATTCACTACAGCTAAGCTCCTTTTGCACTTGGACCATTTTTAGTAGGAAAGCTGCATTATGTGAGTGAGTGTACAATCAATACATTATATACACTCACCAGCCACTTCATTAGGTACACCCTGCCAGTACAGGGTTGGATTCCCCTTTGGCTTTCAGGGCTGCCTTAATTTTATGTGGCATAGATTCAACAAGATGCTGGAAACATTCAAAGGAGATTTTAGTCCATATTGGGCATGTGGTACTAACATGACACGATAGGATCCTAATATGTTAAGTATCAACCAGCATTACCTTATTATTATGAGGTTACTACCACAAGTCAGCATATAAAATGAATAAAATTATATAAAGAGAGACCATTTTATTGCTAGCAGGCTGTTATATTGTTAGCAGAATATTACTATACTATTGTTACCACAGGTTTGTGGCCTATTATAACCCAATAACATAAAGTTCAATGTGATATTACTTAGCTACAGCACGCTTGATAAAAGATTATGACCTGGCTTTGTTAATTAAGTAGTAATAATTTGCTATTTGCTAAATGTTCGCTACAACCTTGATATGTAATATGTATTCTCATATTCTACAAAAATGAAATATTAAACTTAAGCATTAAAGCCACACCTGCAGTTAGGTAGATTTTGCATTAAAAGTAGTCAGTAGTAAAAAAATAGATGCAATTGTGCTGACTGCTCTTCACCAAAACATATCTAGGCTTGCTTTAATTTGCCTAAACTCATTTTAAATATCATTTTGAATCTCTAAACAGGGGCCTTTTGGAGGTTTTACAACTGGACTTTGTACCAAAAGCTGTTTCACAGCAGGTTGAAAGTCAGACCATCTCCTGGCGTCTGGAGTTGCCAGGGAATGTGAAGGATGTGGGCGTAACGCGGATCTACACCACCCAGAGAGATTACGTGGGGCTGGCACCGCTGGTGATGGTGAGAATTGTTTTAGCATAACGTATATTGGAGTATATTTATTTGAAATATCATACTATAGCATAAATCTATGTGTATAAGATTATGCATGTTTCATATATCTTACAGTTGTTTGCATTTATCTATGCCTTACTTAGTTTTTAATTCATGACTGTGATTTAAAGATGTTGCATAGCCTTCAGGCTTTGTATTGAATTATTTATTCAATCGGTTGTACTCTTATTAATACTGATAGCAAAGAAAGTGGAAGGCTTAAAGTCAGATACCTGATTAGGCAATCTGCCAGGGCATTTAACTTTATCACAGGGCAATATCAGAGCATGCAAGAGCCCCCAGCTACTTCACTCAGTCTCTATGAAATTGGCATTTACTGCCTTGGTTCAAAGAAAAAAAAAAAAACAGTTTATATTCTTGATGAATAAACAAGATGAGATGGGTATATGCATCATATAGCAAGGTAATGCCACAAGAAAGTGAACTCTTGGCTGCTGAGAAAAATGTCACATTTTCCGGACTTAACATGCACAAGTAGTCTTTTTTTCTGAAAGTGTTCACAGTCTGTCAGCATTTACGATGCACTCATTTGCAAGGTTCAATAAACCCGGCAATTAGCATTTTAATTAGTGTCGTCATATCACACTGCAAAGATATAAAGAGGACAAAAACCTTAAAATCTTTTGAAAGTCAGCTCAATCAAATAGTAGAAACTGTCATAAATTTTTGAATTTTGTTTTTGAATAGAATGAAATGAATGTCATGTTGTCAGCAAGTTGCTTTTGTGACCAGTCTTCCTTTATTTAGTTTTTCTTCCATGCCTACTCATTGTGGGTCTCCCCTTTGATCACAGTATTGTGCATAAATATTCAACATGCTTTCACTGATTCCCTGCTGCCACTTGCAATCTCAAAACATTTCCAAAGAAAACTCTCTAAAATGTCAAAGTAGCTCTACTCTACAGTTGTCCTTAAAAGATGATCCACACGTCTATTTTACGGTAACTGTAATTTCAAGTATCATTTGAAAGCCATCACTATATGTTTCATCAGTCACTTGCATAATTCACATGAGGAAAATACCCTTTTTCCAACAGTGGAGTGAACTGGCCTTTTTCATGAGGAGGTCGCAGCTCTCGTCATACAAAAACAACTATTACAAGACCATGAATCATCTCCAGCATATTCACAGCTTTGAAAAAAAATTGAACCAACGTAATATCATAAAAATGTAACATTCATTCAAGTGACTGTCGAACAAATGTGAATCACAAGGCAACCCCCCCCCCCCCCCCCACCAAAAAAACCCCCATCAAAATATGATTTATACTGTAGCGTTCATAATTTCCTTTACCACTTATACTCGAGAAGTGAATGAATAAACAAATAATGCTAGAGTTTGCAGCAGAGTGAAAACAAACACCTCTTTTCATAAATCACATGAAAAACAAAGCTGAACTACTTTCGCTGAACTTGATGAAACCAAGTTTCAGCTTATGGTAACATCGACCATCAAGACCTCTCAGTGTGGCACTGGCATCACCACAGAGCGAAGCTATTGCTTTCTGATTTTCTGCTATCCCTGATCCAGTGGCTTATGTTTGGGTCAGTGTTGGAGTCTGAACTAGAGCATGTCCTTTTGGAATTGCGGTCAGCAGCTGTCAAGCCAGCAGAGTTCAGAATGTGAAGCTGTCAGGGAACATCTGCCGAACGACGCCTGGCACTTTATTTCGCAAGTATCAAGAGATAAAAAACCCCCACTACTGATCACCCAAAGCTTCTTACACACACGACGCCTCTGCCTTAAAAAAAGACATATTCAGAGATCTTATAAACTGGGATGTATTTGTAAATCTGTGTAGAAGGAGGAGTTAAAGTGTAAAATTAAAGCTGCATCAGGCTAGATGACAAGTTGCGGGATGTGTGAGGGATAAGCTGCTGCTCTGCACTGACAACGATGTACAGTAAAAGGTGGGAAAATAGGTTAGAAGATTAGACATGTAATCAGGTTTAGGTGTTAGTCTGCGTTAGTGCTGATCTGTGGGCAATATAATGCACTACAGGAATTAGGGAATTTTCATCCAGGTGTGTGTTTGTGACACAGTCATACTGTCATCGTGGGGATGTATTTTTAAGCTTTTAGGACATTTAACCAGTTTTAATGTGTGCTTTGATCATTTACTCATGGTAACACTTGGTCTTGCTTCACATTGCTGTTCCTACAGCTATAACAGTGATGACTGTAAAACATGTATGATATGATAGTCTAGCAGGGTCATGAAAGTTTCTCATGAATTGTGGATTTATTGCAAACAAGGTGTGGACCCAGATGCAGGACTCAGCAGACTGACATGCAACAGAGAACAGAGGGCGATGCAGACATTATATACACAAGAGGAGATTAGGCCAGAGTGGACACACCTGGGGATCACAGCTGAACAGAATCTGACTGACGAGACAAGAGAAGCAAAACGTAACATCACACACACACACGAGACTATCAAAATAGAACAGGAAGTAACACACACATACGCTGAGATCTAGACTGAGATGTGAACTTGACACTGGGACTGGAGATAAACACATATGGAAATATGACTGACTGGGAGACCAAAGGCAGGGCTCTAGAGTGCGACCAATTTGGTCGCAAATGCGACCAAATTTTTCAGTGGTGCGACTAAAAAAAAAAAAAATTTGGTTGCACCTGTGCGACCAACTGTTCGGGTAGCAAAAAAAAAAAAAAAAAAAAATCTGCAACCTTCCCTGTGCTCAACAACAGACACACATTATGCCCCTATCGTGGACTAAACCAATCAGAGATAGTAAGGGGCGGGACCTCTCTGATTCGCCGTGGTCCAGTTGAAAGTGCAGGTGGAAGTGGGAGGTGAGTAGCTCGAATAAAGCGATATCAATTCATTAAATCCTGAATCAACTTTTAAATATAACTGTGTTTTGCCAGAAACGCCAGATTCTCAGATTAAAGCTCACAAAACCATTTCAACAACAACCAAACAGCAGATGAGAGCAGGTACACGGGTTCCACACAAAGACGTAAACACAGAACGGACCCGACGCATCAGAGTCAGCTTTGTCTTTCTCGGCTTTCTCACCCGACGGCCCGTAGACGGACACGCTGTCGGAGCTTAGCGATTCTGATGCGTCGGGTCCGCTGTGTTTACGTCTTTTTGCGCTGATTCTGAGCTGCAGGTTTTGTCTCTCCAACCAAAATTCACCGAGCCAGCAGCAAAAGAAGCAGCAAACTGCGCTTCACATTTGATCAATGTCGTTATGAATTTTGCTGTTTTGCTTCCACAACTATTAAAATCACACTTCATGCACAGCTAGCTCTCTCTCTATCTCTCTCTGTACTTCAAGAACAGTTTCCCGTCTCCAATCTCTGTTTTCTGTATTATTCATTCGCTTATTACCCACCAGTCTACTGTTGTTTACAGCGCTGTCGGCTGCTGTCTTTTTCTTTTTCTTTTCTTTTTTTCACTTAAATGACCTCGGACAAGAAAGCCTATTTTTTTCTGTTGTTCAATACTGAAGAAATTTAAACTTTATATGCAGAACATTGTAGAATATTTTTAAGGTTATCTGCTATAAAAAGCCAGACCAGGAAAATCTCCTTCATATTTTTCTGTGTTTTATTCTCAGTTACTTTCACACAAAGGCATCTGCTGTGATGTTCACAATTCTGATGAAGTCAGTACTGATAAATGATCAGAATTATAATATTTCCGACTGTCTGAGGCTAAGTTGAATCGAATTGGGACTTTGAAAACCGGAATCGAATGGATTATAGAAATCAGTGATGATACCCAGCCCTAGTGAGCAGCCTAGGCACGACAGAAGTGGATGTAGCTGTAATAGGAAAAGAACCATTGCTCACTTTTCTGTTAAGTTAAGGCCTGATCCTTCTGAAATTCATAGCCAGTGCTCTGACACGGTGTCATCAATCTTTGAATGCTGAAAAAGCACAGTGTATCCAGAAAAACACATTATATTATATAAATTATTATAAAATTTGTGTGCGCCTAACTTTTGTGCCGGTACGCCCATGGCAAAAAGTTAGTCTAGAGCCCTGAAAGGATGAAACAGAAGAATATGGGAATAGGAATGGATAAACATAGGCACACGTATTAACTTAATAAGGCAGGAAAACTAGATAGAACAGAGAGACCAGATAAACATGGGAACATGACTGGGGATAACAAAAGGATAACAAAACATGGAGACTAGACAAGAACCAGAAACTAAAAATAACAAATTCTGTTTCTCTTCAGAATACAAAACTCTAACATTTCATAAATTCAAAAGAATGAGTAAGGAGTCCAGAACAAGCTCAGAAACAGCCTTGAAAATCCAGGACAATAAGTTCCTTATTATCATCCTTATTATTAAAAAAAATTAAAAAAAGAAAAGAAAAAGGCAACAACATGGTGTTTGAATATAAGTGTAATTGTGCCCCATACCTTAACTTACATAATAATGAACTTAGAATTAAAAATATATGTGTGTATGGGTTTTAATGAGGCAGCACGGTGGCACGGTCGTTAGCACTGTTGTCGCACAGCAAGAAGGCCCTGAGTTCAATTCCACCATCAGGCCGGGGTCTTTCTGTGTGGAGTTTGCTTGTTCTCCCCGTGTTTGCGTGGGTTCTCCCTGGGTACTCCGGCTTCCTCCTACAGTCTAAAGACATGCAGTTATTGGGGATAAGTTAATTGATCAGTCTAAATTGCCCATAGGTGTGAATGTGAGTGCAACTGTTTTTTTTGTTTTTTTTTTGTCTCTGTGTGTTAGCCCTGCGACAGATAGTGGTCACCTGTCCATGGGTGTACCCTGCCTCTCGCCCTATGACAGCTGGGATAGGCTCCAGCGCCCCCCGCGACCCTGAAAAGGATAAGCGGAAGCAATTTTAAAGCATGATAATTAAAATATGTACCTGTATGTTAGTGTAATTTACAGATCTGGTACATTGCTTCTGCTCTCCGACACTCCCTTGACAATCATGTTAAAGTAATAATACTAAAAAGTTCTATATACTATAAATACTATAGCTATAGTATATAACTATAATAACTATAATATTGTAAAGTTCAGTTCTCTCTTTTTTTCTTTGCACAGTCGAGGAGCGTATCAGGTCACATCTCACTGCATGTTATACCTGTATAACCGTGCACGTGACAAATAAAGAATCTTGAATCTAAAACAATACAAAATAATCTTAAAAAAAGATCCAGAGTCAAAAAGTGCATGTTCTTCTGCGGCCGATGTGTTGCAAGAGGGGCAGGATGTTTTGGGAATATAGTTAGAGCAAAGATTCATCCCTTTGGAAGCGCGTGACTCTTTTCACTCTTTCAGCTAATATCTAGGAATTAGGCTAAAAATGTTAACAAATGATCCCCAAACTACTAACTTTGTGGCTCTGTTTCTTTGTACACAACACCAAAAAAGCCATGATGTTGTGTTAGCCTAGACTGCTAGCATGTGCTTTATTTGCCCTTCTTTTTTGCCCAGAACACAGATATGTTGAATACTGCAGTACTGACAGGAAAAAGAGTTTCAGTCCCAGTGAAAACTCTCGCTGTTGAGGCCAGTGGTTCAGTCACTGACGTGACCGACTACACCAACTGTAGATCTACAGATGAGGATGTGCTCAAGGTAAGTCAAGAAAACTGTTAGCATGGTTTCTCATTTTTCTGGTTCGTGTGTTTGGCTTTTTATGAAATGAGTAACCTAAGCACCTATGCTAGAACACATAGTGTTAACTGTGTATATGAGTTCTGTATTATGCATGAATAATAAATAATTACATAAAAAAAATCTATATCAGCTAATGCAGTTATTACAGCAGATGTAATTGAAGAATTGATGTAATTGATGTAGATACTGTTTTGAATTGAATGAAAATCAGGACTCACTTGCACAAAAAGTGAAAGTGAATTTTAATACAAAAAAAGAAATTGTTCATGAGTCGTTCTGGTATATGCCTCTAAGACATCCACTGTCACTGTGGCATCACACACAACAACCTCAACTCTAGTGTGTCAGTGTGTGTTAAAGTATTACAGACAAAAGCAACCTCTTCCAATATAGCACAAGCTTATGCTCACACCACTCAGCTGTGATTTGACCTTTGTGCAATGGATTCATGTTACTAGGACAGAAAAAGAAGTGAGGGTGACGGAGAAGAACTGGAAAATTAGAGAAAGATATTTGTTATTTTCTACCAGACAGCTGACCTGCCTGAGTGTAAGGCAGTAAGTAAACAGTAAGAGAGTGGTAAAGAGCTGAAGAGAGTGAGACTGCGTTTGTAATGATTTTCTGTATCAACTTAATCCAGTTATTATGTGTCTCTGAATGAATACCTTATGCTTCCTGTAGTCACTGACTCTCTTAATGCAATACCACTAACTGGGTGAAGTTGAAGGCTAAAACCACAGACGTAACTCTTTATAGCATAAGCGGAACAGACTGAACCTTTATTGGGGAATTCAGTTGTATGCAGTATATGCAGATGGAGCTATATTACACATTTTCCAAAACAAACCTATGCACTATCCCGTACACAGAAAATATGGGATGCATTGGCACTGTATAAAGTACTGGAGGGAAAATCAAATGTAATCAATTTTGTAATCAAGCAAATCACTCGAGGTTATGTTATATCTTTCATATCCAAAACAACCGTTCATATCTAATTTTATTTTACTCTGAAACGCTTCCCTTCCTGTGTTGCCATGCTGGACACAAGGATAACAGTGAGATTTCAACCAGTTTTACAGACGGGGGAACATTTCTCCTGGGACAATGACGAGCAGTCACCAAAAATCAATGAATCTGGGATTTCTGATCCTGCAAGAACTGAGAGGGAATCCCATAGCATTCACCCCTTCTGCACCAGTTAGATCTTTAAACTTGCAGTGGTAATAGGCTGATGCAGCCTGTTTTTTAGTCCTGCATGTAAAATAGTTATTGTAGATACACCATCAGTGGTTTGTTATGTGAAAATGAAGGCGCATTACTTTTTCTCTTTATGCTAATTGTGTGTTTACTCTGTTTTTGTTCTTGACCTTAAAGACTAACAATGACTGCGATTACTGTAATAATGCAGTATGACATTAGTGACCCTTTGAAATAATCAGCCATTATTTTTATTATTATTATTTTTAATGTATTTTATTTTTTTATTTTTCTTATTTTGAGAATGCATAATTGTGACCAGTGGGATAATTTCATGCAGCATATCTGAATTAACATATTTCTTCAATGCAGTCTTAAAAAAACACATTGGATATTTTTAGGCATCCCAACACATTAACACATTTAAAATTCTGGCTTGTTCCTAATCTTGCAGAGACCAATTGCTAGAGAAATGTCCCATTCTTGTCTGATATAGGATTATAGCTGCTCTGGTTTGGGGTCTTCTATGTTGTATTTTTTTATTCTAGATGGGCCAAATGTTTTGAATAGCTGAAAGGTCTGGACTGTGGACAGGCACGCTGACCACCTGGACTCTTCTACTTTGATATCATGCTGTTGGAATAGCTGCAGTATGTGGTTGTCTTTCTGAAATATGCAAGGTCTTCCCTGAACACATCATATGTTGCTCTAACACCTTTATCTATATTGATGGTGCCCTTCCAGATGTGCCATGTTTTCCAAAAAGAATTTCAAAATTCAATTGGTCTGACCACAGAACAGATTTCCACTTTCCTTCAGTCCACTTTAAATAAACTTTGGCCCAGTGAGGACATGAGTGTTTCTGGGTGTTGTTGTTATATATCTTAAAACAAATATTGCTGTATTTCCATATTTACTGCAGCTGATAGATTGTTGTTGTCCTTCAAGCATGCCATCAACTTCTCTGTTTTTGGTCAAAACCTTAGAGGATTCCTGGAATTACCTCATAAAATCCTTTTGTTAGAGATTTTAAAAATACCATGTGTTCCTGTCTGTATAAACCGTGTTTGTATAAACTTAATATATATATCCAGCACCCAGGCTGAACACAGCTTTTGTGTTAAAATATTATACTGACCTTTTATCCTATAGTTCTAATGCATGCATTCTTGTCTCATGATGCGAAAAGGAAGAATTAACACTTTTCATGTAGTACTTTACTAATGCATTGATACATAGTTTTTTTTTTTTTTTAAACCCCTCTAACCTGAAATAGTTTTATGGTGAATTTAGGAAGCATAATAATGTAACAGAAAGAAAGCAATTTACACAACGTGAAGTTCATGGACTGCCCATTCCAACACATTTCAGCAGTCTCCCAAACAGAGATCAACAGAAAACAACACAAGCTGGGAATGGTAGATAAAACATTCACTATTATTAAAATTCATTGCTCTGAAATATATCTGATAGGCTGAAATATGCAATAGGCTGAAGTACAGAAGAAAAGATGCACAGTTAAAAGAATAAAACTGCAGTATAAAGAATATCTAATTGTGCAATTTCAATTTCCTCTAGTTAACATCCTTCTTTTCCTACTTTCCAATTATCTTTTTATAACTGCATGTTAAAGTAATAAGTAAATACACAGTAAAAGTTTATGCAGTGGAATGAGTTTATTCAGGTAGCATTTTCTCATGTCTCTCACAATACACTGTAAGCAGGACCCACAAATCCCCGTAGTATTTTAAATTACGTGTCATGACTCAAGTTTTATGCATATTTAATTGTCTGGACACCAGTAAAATCCAAGGCAATATCCTCGTTTTGAAAATAAATGAGGGTCAAGTGGTCCTCCTGATGCCTTCCTTGCAACAAATTCACAAAGCTGGCAATGCCACTGTGTGCCTCCTGATCTCTTCGAGTGCTCCTTATACCTCACACCTTCAGAAATCCCTGCTTCCCTTTCTAGTCATAGTAGGAGAGGGGGAGGCGGGGAGATGACTTGGTTAGGCCTTTGTTTGAATTGGCTTGAGAGGCATTTAATAAACACAGAAATAATGTATTAATTATAATTGATTTTACACATTACTCATTACTTTCTTAAAAGTAATGCATTTTTTTACTTAGCTACTCCCCAGTGGAGGTAATTCAATGCACTCTGCAACATAGCCTAAAATAAATTGTCATTGTTTAGGTTTGTTAACAAGTTAAAAACATTCCCAAAGGGACTTTAAAACATGTACAGGGAGAAACTGCGTATACAAACCTGACTGCACATCACTCCTTTTGTTACCTGCTAAAACTCAGGCTGCTGGGCTGCAAGTCAGCATGCACTCAGCTTCATCAAACAGAGTTCTTTGCTAGCTTTGTGTTTGTATGCAGTGTGTGCAGATGGTTGCAAAGAACCAGTGTTGTGTTAGCAGTATAGCGCAGCTTTTTTCTGTCCTGGACATAGTTTGTGCTTTATTATTGTGCTCTTTTCTTATTGTGCAGTGTAGATACTATTAATGGTTATATCTCAAAAACTGTAGACCGGACCACCATTTTTCTCCTCCTTGGAAATGAATCGAATCCGGTCGTTAAGTGATGTTGTGACGAATCCTACTTCCGGGCCTAAAGTAGTCTGCGTTTAATATGGCTTTTGTGTTGTTAACATGTTTAATGTTATGTATTTTCTTCTATTTAATCTCAAAAAGCTCCTAAAACAGTCAGTGATCCCTGTTGACCTCCCTCGGCTTTTATTACCGCTAATCATTTATTTAAGCTCAGTTTTTAATACCTTAGGATGTAACTACAGCCCAGCCCATGCAGCAGTATATGAATGACTAACCTCGTATTGTGGATGGATTATCTCAGTTGTTCTCCTGGCTGAAGTTTGGTCCTTTTACAGCATCCTGCCAACTTTTATCGAGAGGAAAAAAAGTTTAGCTTGTTTATATTATGCTAACATAGCTGTGTCGCTAGCGGTCACGTAGCACATCATTATATACCAGCTAGCCAAACTTCAGTAACCCTACAAACGTCACTGCTGTTAGTTTTCTGTCTTCATTTATGCTGGAAGTGATAACAGAGCTGTACGTTTTAATTTGGTTCCAAAACCCCGCAGTCAGGACATGCTATATTGTATTTAGATAGAAGCTAGCGAGCTAACTCCCTGCTAACTTCTAACTCCGTTAAATATCATAAATTCTGTTTTCATGGATGCCTGGATGTTAAACTCAATTGTTACACCTGGTAGAGCAGAACGCTGATCATTCTATTAAAGATGAAAGACTTTAGACAGTTTTTCAACTCACAGTAATGCCATAGTGATCGTTTGATATATGGACCTGCAGCGGAGTTTAGGCCCAGACACGGCTAGTGACGTCAGACTGAACAACCGGATTCAGCTGATTGAAGAGCAAGTGTGTAGGAGAAGAAAAGGCATATTGGACTGTATTTTTTAGCTGTCTATCATGTAGATAACTGAAGCTGACACATGTGATAACATAACTACAATTGTAATGTGGTTACTGGGTTTAGTAAAGCAATACAGTACATTTATATTACTATATTACTTAAAAATGTAATGTGATTGTTAATTGCTACTTGTTGGCTCTTTAAAATATCAAGCTTTAGTTTCTTGTTTATGGACAGCATACACCCAGTTTGGTTCTAAGGATCTTTTGCTACCACCTTTTAATTAGGTTTAGTTTATGTCTTTCACATGCTTGGTAAGCTTTGATACAGGGTGTGGGTAGTTGTTGCTGGTCTGTATTTTTTTTTTCTGTCACACTCTTGTCCCTTGCTGGAATAAATTTGAATTAATGTTTGTATCTTCACCCCTTAAAATTGTGGGCTGCTCTGCAACTTTTGACATGATAAATAGTAAAATCTAGTAAATCGATAGTTTGAAGTCTGCACATTATACAGATAATTGAAAACATATGTAATAAGGTGACAAAATAACTATCTGACTAGCAACATGTTTGCAAAAAAATAAATAAATAAGAAAATCATGTTTATATACAACACTGTTCAGGCCCACGGACAGTCATTTATCTAAGTCGGATAAAGGATCAATGAGGTGGGTGAACATTTACAACTGGTGCATTCTTTCCTGTGCTATCACATGAATGAGGGGTGGTAAGTTAAAAAGAAATGCGTTTGATCTATTTGCTAGCAGTAGATATAGCATCCCTCATCTTCCACCGTCAAATCGTCTGCTGACTATAGAAGAGGAAGTTGAATTGGAGAGCTGCCCAAGAAATCTGAGTCATGAACAGTTAGCATGATGAACTGCCCTCTGTCATCATTTCCATGAGAGTTCAGCTCGACTTGCTTCAGAATTCATTCCTCTTGCTTTTTCCTCACTTTTTCCCTCCTTCTTTTTGCCTCCCTCTCTCCAGTGCTCCATTCTATTCTCCAGTCTAGTGCTCTCCAATTACCTCTGTGGAGCCACTGGTTTGTTAAGATAAGTACGGCGGCAGTGGAGATAGGCCTCCAATCTTAAATAAAACACACCAACTGCTGTGTCTCACCTCATTGCGCTCGCTGGTGGGGATTGTGGCACTCCAACCTACAGTAAGGCATTACAGGAACAGTCATAAAGGAGAGCTAATTTACATTCAGTAACAGTTTCATAGAGACCACAGATGTGAATTTACATGACATAAACACAAACACGCTGCAATTCCCAGGCCAGACTTTGAAAGTGGTGTGAAATTAATAAAATGTTGGTATGTGTGTGGTTTTGCCTTATTGGGTTTGGCGATTCTGTCCCCTCTACCCTCTCATCATATATATATTCAAACTTATTGAGTTTGCATAGGCTTTACATTAAAAGACCTTGACCAGGGTACATCCAGAGAATATTGATTTCACATCACTAGATGACAGTCCAGTCCCAGTTCTGGTCAAGTGACTCCTGTGTACATTTTAAAATAACTTTCTTGTTCGGTATATTTACAAAGTTTTCGAGCAACTCTGAGTTTGTGAACCAAGACATACTTCTTGAGGCCTTTGTTCATTATCTTTCTTCTCTATTTTTCTTTCCAGGTGTCAGAGCGCTGCAGCTATGTATATCTAAATGGGAAGGAAACCAGAGGGAAAAGTAGGATAATGCTCAACTTTACATATGGTTTTCTGAGTGCCCAGCTGGAGATGAGTGTATGGATGCCCCGTCTGCCCTTGCGTATTGATGTGGCTGACCCTGAGCTTAGCCAGATCAAAGGCTGGAGGGTTC